TTCCCTGTATGATGTGCAATTTCTTACTTTTAAAATCACATGCAGCAGTCTTGAATGTTCCTCCTTCATGGTACATGTGCCTGCTTACAATTACCAGCTAATAAGGCAATAATGTATTTTCCCAAGTTTCTTATGAAAACCTCCTCGTACACCTGGCAGAGTCCCGCCACCTATCATTTCTTTTCCTTGTCAAACGAAGGCAGTAACGCGATCTTTTTCTTTATTTGATCAGAAAAAAATGACTTTTAAAACCCATGCAACTTTGAAGTTTCAGGATGATGTGACGCGTGATAGCCTAAATGCAAAAAAGGGAGCAACTCTACACAAGCTTCGCCAGCCAGTTCACGGCCTCTCCATCATCGAGACTTCTACAGTGCCTCCTCGTGACCACCCACAGAAACTGGGCACCTTACAGTCCCAGGCTAAACTGTGGCGGATTTCGGAGCAGCCCCAGAGGTACAGAGCCATGGCCCACCGCCATATGGACATGCCTTTGCTTTGTACCAACTCCTGACCCTCAGCCTCCCTGAGGTTAACTGGCGGCTCGGGGGAGGTGGGCCTTGCCAGCCCTGCTCCCCTTAGAGAATATCACCGGCAACGTCTTAAATGCTAGGGGGGGGGGGGTCTGTCCCTCCAACCCCCGGGTTGTGGGTCTCGTTAGGAGGGCAAATGTTGGGGCACAAGATGGGAATGAGTTACTCATCCTGCCTGTGCCTTGACAAGCGCCAACTAATCCAGTATGAAGCCTATTGGGTAAAGCCTAAGGGAACCCCACAGGTGGGCATTGGGCCCAACAGCCTGCCTACCCCATTATTTGGGGCAGCTTCGGCGGGGGTGGTAGAGGTGGCGTCCATGCGAGCGATTACCTCTGCTATCGAGGGAAATGAAACATCTGTGGACATGGTATACCAATACCGGTACTTTGCCCAAGGAGATCGACCACATACTTGTCAGCACTCGATGGAGGATCCCTCTGAATTGCAGGGCTTACAGGAGTGCCGAGTTCTGTGGCACTGATCATAGGCTGCTAGTGGCTACCCTATGGGTCCCCTTAAAAAATCCTCGTCCCTCCAGTGGCCACTCTAGGGCGTTTCACTTGGACAGACTGAGGGAGGGGGTGTGCCTGTGGGTTCCCCAATGATTGATTCACAGAACTCGAAAACCTGATAGACTCAGTTACTCTGTGGGAGTCCTTCAAGCGTGGTACACTCGAAACAGTGCAGGAGTCCATTGGCGTATGCCCGTGTGCAAGGCAGAATTTCA